ACTCCCAGGGGAACTACTTCGAGGGTGATGGATGAATTTAATACCCGAGATAAGTGTACGGGTTTTTATAGGCGCAGTCTTGAAACTTTCTGATCGCACCTCGTAGATAAAGTGTTTCTTTCTTGTTCTGACGTTGAAATCACCGCATCCAAATTCCGATTAGCTACAATTAGAAATCCTCAATCCGTGGTGAAATGGAAAAACAATCGATCTTAAAATAAAATTCTCACCTAGGTTTAGACGGGAGGATATTTTTAAACTGAATTTAGAAAAATGAGCTGTGGACTGGAATGAATTGTTTTAAGGAAGGGTCCCGTAATGGAATTTTGCGGTTGCTACGAACTTTTAACGAAAGCTGGAAGGCCCGTTGCCTTGTAGTTATTAATAGGATAATCTCGTTTGTTTGCAGGATTTTCACAGATGCTGTGTAAACATATGCCACTGCAGGGGAAGTTGGTTTGTGGAAGAACTCGAAATTTGAACTACAACGACAAATGCAACATTCCGTATGAATGACGCCAAGTGATTCGATTCATCGCCATTCGACCGCGAGATCGACGCCGACATAAGGAGTGAAGTTGTTACAGATTCTTTTATATTTTCTTGCCACTGTAATAACAGTGTTCAATAGGAGTTGATGCAGAGAGCTTTGCTGTGAAGTGCACAGGAAGAAGATGGCGGCGGAACTTAACGGGAAGCTAGTCCCGGTGGAGTACCTCGGATTCACCGCAATGGACAAGAGGTTTTCCAGACCGATGTTGCCGTGGGTCATCGCAGAGATCAAGAGGCGCGGTACTTCAGAGAAAGTAAGACTTACACATATGTTTGTATATTTAGTAGTTTTGGTTGTTAGTTTTCGACTGAGTGGTCTGACACAACGGTACCTCTCATGTACCTGATTAAAATCTTGGTCCGTTGTTTCCTCGGTCTGTCGTGATGGTACGTTGAAATAAATATTGTATTTCTTTTCTTACCCACAAACGTGCGCGGTGTTATTAAATAATCAAAAAAACGAATTTAATTTTTTAACGATGTTGTGCTTGGTCACGTGTTTTAACCGTGGAGTAAATGCTATATAAACATTATTCCTTTTGTAATAGGAGTCTGCAAGCTGGTCTGGCTGTATCACTCATATTTAACGCTATCAGCATATATTATGATCCAGATTTATATAAGAATCGAGAAATTTATAAAAACTAAAATAAGAATGAAGTGATATGATTCTTTACGATACTTACAGGGAATGATCCGGTTGGTCATGTCGAAACCTCACCTGAAATTTTACTCGTCTACAGAGCCCATCTAGTATGATTGTACACGTATCTACGTATATAATACGCAGGTGTTTTATATGGTGGTTTGTGGAAACAATGCACTGAAACACGCATCCCTAGCTTACTACGTACATGTACTAATATACAACGCAGGGAAATAGATGTTTCATTACGTTAAATCGTACTATATTCTTTAATTAAGGAGATAGATAATGATTTTAATTTTTATATGCTGATTTGTTAGACTTCTCAATAAAAATCCGTTTTAAACACTACTTTAATTTTCCCGTTATGACGCACATATTCAATTAACAACACGAACATCGAATTAAAGGTTTATTTGCACAATATCTATTTCGCATTTGGCTTGTTCTGCGCAGACAGAAGCCTCTAGCTTCTCGGAGACTAAATTCTCAGCGCCTGGCCCACGGTCTCCGTTGCAGTGTACCGGTGAATAAAGGTAGCCCTCGATTTACGCCGGGGATGCGTTCCTGGACAAACCGGCGTAAATTGAAACTCTTCTATAATGAAAATCAAATGGGAAGTCAATGACATGCGTTCCCAGCACCCAAACATTGACGAGTAATATAATGGCATTACATTTAAAGCTCTGAAATAACGTGAATAAAATAAAGGGAGTTTAAAAAATATATTTTATAAATTTGCAATCGGCAATTCGTTGGTCCCCGCGATTCTTTCATGTGATTGATGTGTACAGTCATCTCTGCTGTTATGCGATAGTTGCATTCATGTAAGACGCTGACCTATAGAAAATCGCGTAGTAAAAATAACCCCGGTACCTCCACAGAGATTAAATCAGTCCTTTCAAAGTTTAAAGCGCCAGGAATAGAATTGCATAAGAGCAAACTCACATATGCAAAAGTTTGCATTTTACCGATTCATCGATCTCATTGGAGCAAATTCCTGGTAACAAAACACACGTTATTGCAGAGATGACTGTATTTATAATTTTTATTCAAAATCAACGATGTAAGAAATACGATTTAGTATAATAATCAGTAGGAGATACATTGTAAAAGGTTATAAATAATAGTAAAATATATTTTTTTCACTTTTTGACTTGCTGGTTTCAAAATCGGCGTTATTCTGAATCGGCGCAAATCGAGGGCTACTTTTACTATGCCAATGCTAGGACCACTACCATCAGAAGCATGCGCGATGGAGCGAATTTTAAATATACGTTCGAATTTTGAGCAATTTTTTCGCACCCTTGCACAGCGTATCAGCAGCTGATATTTTGTGTACAATCATTACAAGATGGGCTCTGTAGACGAGCAAAATTTCAGGTGAGGTTTCGACATGACCAACCTAACCATTCCCTTGTTAGTGACCTACGATTACTTTTTTATAGTCAATAAATAGTTCCTGCAAGACAAACAAACAGTAATCCCGTTCTCTTTCGACTGTTTCAATCCATGTACGTCGTTATCCATTTTCAGTTGCTCTTGGAATGTGTTCCACACGGAAATTTCGAAGCATCTGGTTGAATAATATACAATTGCACAGTATAAATGAATTCGTTAAGAAAAAGAAACATTTGCGGACTCGACCTTGCTTACGGTCTTCGTATAAATGCTCGTCTGATACGACGCAGACTCGTCTTAGAGTGAAAATAGATGCCAAAGTTAACCACAGTATTCGCATTTGTTTTGCTCAACGCGTACCAAAACGGTCACGAAACTGTCTCAGCTTCCCCACAGCACTTTTAGAATCCACAAAGAACAATCTCTTTGCGTTATCTGAAAAAAACCACTCTTGTTGGCTGTCTCCTGCATAGTGACTGGAAAGCCCGTGCTGATCACATGGCGCTATCTACGCGTGACGCTTATGCACCATGTTTCTCCATGAACTAATGCGCACTTCTACATGCTTTAAATTTGAAAATGTCAGTCTTTCATTAACCGTTACACGCACTATTCTTACGTAGAATATTTCTTGCTGTTCTGTTAGGATTTTTAATCAAAATAGGTTGTTTCAATGCCATATTTATGTGTTAGCTTTGTAAAAGCGGCTTACTCATAACTCGTGTTTTTATGTTTGCTAATACAATCTCGCTAACCTCGGTAAAATTTGGAAAGTGGACCTGCTTCGCTGGCAACTATCAGCAAACTGACCCATCTACCCCTCCACATTTCTGTGGGTATGAAGGTGACTTGTTATACGCGCTTTCGTTATCCGCGTTTTTGCTTATCGGTGGTTTTGTTTCAGTATCCGCTGCCAAATTTCAAAGCATGTTACCTGCGTTTTCCAGGCTTATCATAGAATGTGGTGCAAATGATAATCTTAAAATTGACGAATTACGGCACCGGTGACCCGGTGTCCTACGTGAGCGACTGAATGCGAGCGGTGCGAGTTGCGTGGGTGAAGCGGAAATATCAAACTGGTTGTTTGTGTGGCGCTGTCCTATGTTACAGCGAAGCGGTCGGCGGCCAAAGTCCGAGATCAAATATTTTGATATTTACATTTTAACTTCGCAACATTTTTCATACAGTGGAGAACAAAGTGATTCAGGAGTTGGTGATTGAGAACGGGACTCAGTTGTTACGTTCTGATTCAGCTCTGCAGTATGGCAGTAGACTGTCCTCTGACTTCCTGGTCAAAATATTAGACCTTATAGACATCAATTGGCGATCGCTACACGTACCAAGTTCCCAATTTCACATATCGGTAGGGTCGATATACAACGAGCTTGATTGATAGTGACAGGAGTATATATGACAGCTCCGAATCAGAGTGGCTCAGATATTGTGACAGTAAGCGGCTCTAATCTTCATGATAAGATACAGTTCACTTGACACATTCAAGAACACGTCAGGAGAGAGTTTCCGTCATTTGAATAAAAATTTCCTTTGATATTATCCATCGTCTAGTAAAATATAAAATATAAAACGTAAAACGACGTTTCGGAGATGGGACTCTATCTCCGTCTTCAGGTTCCTACACAGTTGGGCCCACTGGATAGAGCTAATCCCTATCCCCGGACCGGACCAAAATATATATGTTATAGATATATGGATTCCACCATATTGAATTTAAACATGAAATAATATTGTCGTTCACCTAATTTTGGCATTTATTTTTCATTTCTTTTAAAAATACATCGTAAACGGCCAATACTCGCAGTTACAGTACTTTTTTTTCGATTTAAAGCCACTACTTAAATACTATCTGCCTTCGTAATGTTCATTTTTAAACCGTAATTATAAATCGTACTTCAGCGTTCTGACACGACTTTTAAATCCAGATTCATCCTCATCGACAATTACCTATTTGTAACGGTCCAAATTACATCTTCTGCTGAGGTTATTTAATCGTGCTATTTAATTTCTTATTTATTATTATTTAGTGTTCTGTCTGACGACAGGTCCATATGAACAGGATCCTTCCACCCTTTTCTCGGACTGGGACCTGTTCATATACGTTCTTGGCAGATGATCCAGAAGTGGTTTGCCATTGCCTTCTTCTGTGTGTGAATGGAGTAATTGTTGGGATGCCACAGAGAAACCGGGGAAGCCCCCGGAGGAAAACTCCGTGTTGCCTAGTTGCTTTTCAAAATTTTAACTTTTTGTGGTGTTTGGAGGATGGAAACTTCTATTTCATGGCATCTACGTAAGTGTTTAAGACACACGTGCGAGGACCTTCCTTTCCCTGGAGTCTTGGTTTCGACATTAATGTGCAATAAATTGTTGTGAATTGGGTGTATGTCGAAAGTCAGTTTGGACTTTAATGGTTCATTGTCACTTAGCAGACGAATGTTACTGGACCATACACATTAAGGAGCGTGAAGGGGAAACTTTGAAAGAGCTAATTAGACCAAAGAGCTGAATGCAAGTGAATACGTCACTGGTTTTGAATGTTTCGAACCGGGGACAGGACACGGCGCGTCGGTTTGGCATTCTACAACAAACTTTGAACATAGTCGCACGCAAGTCCAATACAATCCTGAAACCGTCTTCTTACGGCTAAATCCAGGTATTATCTGTATTGTTCTCAACTAAATAGAGGAGTGTAAAATATTCAGCAATATCTGCAGACCTAGTTGTCGGCAGTTACATGCTGTAAACACCCCGGAGAGAGTCGAGTATGTACCGAGGAGCCTATCACATGTAATTATGTAAACAGGAAAGTGTCGTCTAATTCGTTCAAACGTCATTTAATATCCGGAAAGCTGTTTGAATGACGAAACTGTTCGAGCACCTCTTTTCCTAACCACGTGGGCACTGGAAGTTCTTTAATCGCCTATTGCAGTAAACACGTGGGCGATAGAAACATAACAAAATTTCGTGCAGTTAAATTCGGGAAATGCTTTCCATGTGGGAGATATGGGTGTCGATGGGAGGATGACATTAGAGTGGATCTTAAGGAAATATGACGTGGATTGAATTCGTTTGGCTCGGGTAATTTCAGTGACAAGCTCATATAAACACGGAAATTAACCTTTGTATTCCATAAAACGCTGATAATTTCTTGATTATATTTTAAAGAATTACCTTTCCCGATAGAGGTAAAATGTTAATGTAGTAAATTGAGCTGTTTCGTATTCGGGAGGTCTTAGGGTTTAAACCTTTTTATATCCTGACAGGTTTTTCGTTAATTTTCCCAGTCCCTTTCAGATTGTGGGATTAAGTAGGATTCTGTTCACATTCTAACGAATTACTTCCCTTATGCAATTTTATTCGATAATACTCCCTTCAGACGCCACGGTGGTCTAGTGGATAGAACGCTGGCCTTGCAATCCTGGGATCTCGGGTTCGATTCCCGGCGGTGCCCGAATTTATAACTTGTGTTGGGCAAGGCCGTGGTCTAGGCATCACGGAGTTTTCCTCCGTGGCATCCCAACAATTACTCCATTCACACACAGAAGAAGGCAATGGAAAACCACTTCTGGATCATCTGCCAAGAACGTCTATGAACAGGTCCCAGTCCGAGAAAAGGATGGAAGGATCCTGTTCATATGGACCTGTCGTCAGACAGAACACTAAATAAAAAAATAAATACTCCCTTAAACAAAGTAAGGTCATTTGCATATTCTTTAAGACGCAAATATTCCCATATCTGGGACTTGA